TTAAAGCAATTTTTCTTAGTGTTCTTGGCTTTGATCGGGTTCAAAGCTTGGGACCTTCAACAGTTAGCATTGTTTTTTTATATTCTTAACGTCTTTCTTACTTTACAGGGATATGATGTGAATGCTATAAAGGTAAAAGTAGATGCAAGGATCACAAAGATATGTCAGACATTTCTCTCTTTTCTATATTTTAATTCAATTGCTCGTAACTTCTATTTTAGACTGGAAAAGTTAGGAAGAAGACTACATGTGGCACAATGAATAACTCAATTATTAGGACGGCTCGAAAAGCTTTCAGACATTGTAAGGAAGGAGTGTTGGAACAACTCTGAAGAGGTTCCGGGAAAATCAAAAGATCGATGGAGACGCGATTGTTATGGTAATCATGTTTGTCACTATCTCTCATGCGCTTTAGAATTGCATGCATACCACTTCGATCATAAGGATCCTTACGTAAAGAGTCGAGATTCAAGTTTGTCCAACTGTCAAGTACTCCAGTCGTGGCTCAACCATAAAAAAAAGAAAAAATGAAGAACCTGAAAGCAAAACACTTCTCTGTTATGCTACTGATTAATCTTTCACTAAAGAGCATTTTGCCCTGATCGAATACTCGATTTACAATTGCGTGGAGCGTCCAGTTGATAGCACTGACATTCCGGAAGGTACATATGAACATCCAGACGGATCGATCGAAACTATCGGCTCGTGAGAAAGATGTAAGTATCTTTTATATTTCTCAGTTTTGGTTTTGATTCTTTTATAACAGAATGGTTCAGGTTTGGTGTTGCTTTAAAAATGTGCTAGTACAATGCGGCAGTTTTCTCACGAAGAAAATGGCAGCCACAGTTTTCTCATCACTCTTTATGAAGCTAATTATTCTTTATACCATTTTTTTCTTGTAGGTTCTGAATTTGGTAATAGCTGAGCAGATGAAGAAAGAACATTCTGATTCTTCTTTTGAGATTAAACATCTAAAAAAACCATTTTGATACATCAATTGTTGTACAGAGGAAACCAATTTTGTTACATTTCCAAAAAAAATGATTATTTACACAGAAACAAAGAAATGATTACAAGACGTATTGATTATTGGATTATAGTCGTTAGATTATTATAGGTTATAAAGCTACCTATACTTTGTAAACCATTGTCATAAATAAATTTTACATTTCAAAAAAAAAAAAAAATCGGCCACCACATTTTTTTTCCGACTTATTCTCGATATTAGTTTAGTCCTCATCCACGGTCTTCTTCTTCAACGCATCACATGAAACTGGATTTTGGGACATCGGCCACTTATTCTAACTTTTTTGTTTTGCAGGTTTTATATTCAATCAGTAAGGTATGAAGGTGACATCCCAAGCTCAAAACAGAGCCGTGAAGCCCATGTAAATCAGGCCCAAGGATAAAAGCAAAGGCCCTAAGTACACCCGAGTCTTGTATAAAAGCAAAGGCCCCGTCATAGCCGGAAACCATCTTCACAAACCCCAGATCCAGATTCTCCCCGTGGATCGCATCTCCGCCATGACAATGTCACCTGAGGAAGCCATGATATTTCCCAAGTCAGGTATTTGAGCCATCTTTGATAGACACTTGGATGATTTTGCTTTTGTTATTCTAATTTTCGTTTGATTCTTCTGTCTTCTTGGCACCCTGGCTAGGCGATCCTGGACTCAGGAGACTTTTGTTTACGGACGACGACGACCATGCTGATATGGATTGTGCGTCTCCCAGCCATGTGGTTGAGCCACCCATCTACTCTGATCGTTTAACGATGATGGAAGAGGATTGAAAGAAAGTGTAATTTTCTGTTTAGAGAAAAATAAATAAAATGGTAATGATTATGTCGATTGCCTATATATATAACTATTGATTTTTTAGCTATTTTTGTTGGGAGTTGCTGAATTAGAACTGTGTGATTGGGAGTTTGCGAAGAAGAAATTGGTTTCTGTGATGTGGAAGATCTGTAAGACAGGACAAGGAGCAGAGGTTGAAGAAGCATTGAGATTAGGTGCGT